AGGGTCGTGGCTGCCTGAACTCACCAGATAAACGTTAATGCTGGATGCAGGTGCTTGGTGTGGCCTTCTGTCCCCTTTTTGGCTGCAAGTGGAAAGGGGTTTTTGAACAACAGGCTGACCTTGGAGGCTGGTGGGTGGCGGTCTGGCCTACCGAGGAGCTCCTCGTGCTTTTCTGTCCTGTGCCAGGGGTACGTGGATGTTCTCATCCCTCTGCTCCTTGCAAATACAAAGCTCTTGCGTCCAAGGCAAGTAGAGAAACTGAGAAACACTCAGGGGTTGCTTAAAGTGGGGCAAAATGGGTCAGCCTTTCATGAAACGTTCATGTGACAGCTTTGGGGGAGTGCTGGAAACAGGTAACGCTTAGAAACGGGGAGAGCCAAAAAGGCAGAAGCAAGGGAGCTTGCTGGCATCACTGCCTCTGCCTGCATGGACTGACTGTGTAAGTACTGCTAACGCCTTTGACCCAGCGAAGGGAATTTTCCTGTGCCCAAATGCATAGCGGCCCTCTCTCTGCTGTTTTGTGCTTTGGATCTTGCCTAAGCACAGGTGATTCCTGCAAAACATCTGTTCTGCAAAATACAAGTTGACGTTAATAGGAGGGCTCCTACAGGGAGGAGGGAAAGTGAGAGAAGTAACTTGCTGTTTGCAGGGTAACAAAGCAAGCGCACCTCCCCAGTGCGTTTTGAGTCTTCAGGTTACTTGATCCATTTCTGTTTTCTGCTGTTTCAGGTGCAGCTTCTGTACAGTGCATGTTTTTCAGGCACGCTCGGACCACCTCGAGCTTCTGCAACGTCTTTTTGTGCCGGTGAATGGCCTGAACATACACTGCTTTTTGCTCTATTAGACCCTGTGCACTGCCGAATGTCAGCTTTTGTTCTCTGCTTACAAAACACTTCTGTGCAGATAAGCCTAGGGTGATTCACCCAGTAGGTGAAGATAATGCTGTCTCCAGGGAAGGTGCCGGAAAGCTTGAGGTTTTGAGGTTTGATTCGTATTTTGTTAGCATTTTTTTTCTTTTCCAAACATGATGCTCCTGAAAAGCTGTCTTCGTGTGATAATCTCTCATTCTGATGAAAAAACTCTGGTGTAGAAGGTTTTAATAACTGGAAGTCAGTTATCATCTCTGTACCAACCAATTAGAAAGCAAACGTGCATGCATTTTAAAGCAAATATGTGGAAGAAAACACTTCTTTACTGTGGGGGTGGTCAAACACTGGGATGTGTTGCCCAGAGAGATTGCGGGGTCTCCATCTTTGGAGACAGTCAGAAGCTGACTGGACGCAGCCCTGGGTGACCTGCGCTAGGTGACCCTGCTTGAGCAGGGGGCTGGACTGCAGACTCCAGAGGTGCTCTGCAACCTCAGCTGTTCTGTGCATTTTGGTATTGAATGATTGCCTTAAGCCTTTACTGTTGTTTTTTTTTTTTCCTTTAGTAGGAGGAGGAAAACAAAATGGGGGCGTTTTCCCTGTTAAATACAACTTCAGCATTGACAGTTTGGAGTAACACTGGCTTTGGATATGTGGTAGGCCATGTAGCGCTGCCCTGCCCTACTAGGGTCCCAAAGAGTTAGGGACCGGAGTTTCCTAAACTAGGAACCTGCAGTCATCCTACGGCTTTTCCAGGGAGATCTTTGAGCGTGTCGGAACAGAAAACCCGAGGTCGGGCCAGGGGCGCTGCAGCCGTCCGCCCTGCGCGCCTGAGGTGCGGGCGCCTTTAAGAGACTGCGCTGAGAGAGCCGGCCTTCCCCGCCCCCGCCCGGCGGGAAGCGGCGGCGGGGGGGGGGGGGGGCCCCGCGCGCGCGCCCCCACA